TTCGCAGTAGAAGGAGGGCACTTGCAGTTCTGAGTCCTTCCCTTTGGCCTCAGTACAGCTCCTCGCACTTTCTCAAAGATCCTGGTGGTCCTGATCGCAGAATTAAGAAAGAGGGGTATTGCTATTTTTCATTATCTGGACGATATCCTGGTGCTGTCAGAAGACAGGTACACTCTCAATCAATAGGGACAGATCTGCATTCAGTTCCTGCAGGAACACGGCTGGAAGATAAATGGGAAAAAGAGTCACCTTATTCCTTCACAGTCCATGCTTTATCTAGGAGCCCTGTTCAACACTGCACTGGGGACAGTTCAAGTCAAGTCAAGGTCTCCACAGCAGAGAAAGTCATGAGCCTACTAGGATCCATGTCATCAACCATAGGCTTGACAAGATGGGTGCGATGGATAATGAGAACACTCAAGAGGAATTTTCTTTCCGAATACAGAGGGAAGAATCTACTCCAGCCCATCAGGATTTCCACCCTGGTCCACCTAAGCCTGACATGGTGGATAAACAAGAAGGCTCTGTTCTCAGGGTTCCCCCTGGGGAACATTCCCTGGATTACTATAACGACAGTCGCCAGTCACTGGGGTTGGGGAGCCTACCTGCAGAACGAGGTCATCCAGGGGAAGTGGGAGTTTCCTACACACGAGACCCACTCAAACCTTCTGGAACTTCTGGCGGTTTTCAGAGCACTAAAACACTTTCAGCGTTTACTACATTACAAGTGGGTGAAGGTGAGAACGGACAATGCTACAGTAGTAGCACATATCAATCATCAAGGAGGTACCCGAAGTCGCAGTATGGTCAGGTTGATGATTTTTCCCTGATGTTTTGGGTACAGAAGAACCTTGCGGAGCTAGTGGTGATTCATCTGCCAGGAGTGCAGAATACGGTAGCAGACTTTCTCAGCAAGGTAAGGATAGACCCAGGAGAGTGGAGCCTCTCAGACAACGTCTTCGAGGATATCGTGAAGAAATGGGGTCTTCCTCAGATAGACATCATGGCCACCAACAACAACAACAAGAAGCTCCTCTCAGCTTCTCAGACGAAGTCTTCGAGTATATCGTGAAGAAATGGGGTCTTCCTTAGATAGACATCATGGCCACCAACAACAACAAGAAGCTCCAGGGATTCTTCTCGAGGGGGCACGAACCGCAGGCCCGGGAGAGGGAAGCCCTATCATACAGATGGGAGTTCACAAAGGGGTATGCATTTCCAACCACTCCCCTCATATTTCCTCTACTAAGAAGGATTCAGCAGGAACCAGTATTCATGATCCTGATTGCCCATTCTGGCCTCACCGGCCTTGGTTCCCTTTTTCTTCTGAGCCTCTGTCAGGAACCTCTGTGGTACCTTCCAGCAGTTCCTTCTCTTTTGCACCAAAGTCCTATCCTACACCCAGACCCAGCATCACTCAACCTGAAGGCCTGGAGGTTGAAAGGGAAAGGCTTCTAGAGAAGGGTTTTTCGGCTGCAGTCACAGATACCCTGTTACAGGCTCGGAAGCGTTCCACTTCCTCTACCTACTATCGAATTTGGGAAGCATTTTCTTCCTGAGCCTCTCCTAAGCAGGTTAACATACAGCATCCTGCTATTAAAGACCTCTTGGAGTTTCTACAAACAGGTCTGGAGAAGGGTTTGAGCTACAACACCTTAAAGGTGCGACCTCAGCGTTGATATATAAACAAAAATTGGGTATAAGGTGCACTCACAGGTCTTAATAAAAAGATTCTTTTATTTAGTGATGCAAATTACATGTGCAAACAAAATTTTTTGATCGACGCCTCCACCCTTATAGAGTCCTTTTCAAGATCAATATTGCATTGTAAAAGGTGAGTATATATATGTAAAATATTAATGACTTACCAAAGCAGTGTATGAGGAAAAGTTTCCAACCGCCGAAAACCCGGAAGTGCTCCAAAGAATCACGTGACAAACGTGGTGACGTGCAAATAGACAACGTTGCTAGGCAACATGTATACAAATCGTGCAATCATCTCCGTGTAACCGTCTATACATAAAATGTGAAAATAGGTGTAAGAGTGTATTAAACACCAAGTGATATAATGTAAGATCTATTAAATAACATATACAATATGTTTTATATGGAGGATGATCTTCAAGGGAGTAATATAACGAATAACCACATAAGAGACTATAGATGTGGTGAAAAAAATGGAGTAAAGTGAGTGAGATAAAAAAGTGATAGTGTGACCACACAAAGTGAGAACATAAAACATGAATACATCTAAAAGTAAACTCCTGAATGTGGTATGATGAATACATTTGTACCATACTAATGAAACATCAATGTGTACATGCAGCCAGGTGAATAATAGGCATAACTCATAGCATGTACCGTCTAAAAATAAATTGTATACTAAATAATGTAACATTAAACTGTAATATTCTGTATCAGATAGCAGATAAACCACTGTAAATTTTAACCAAAAAAATTGTAACCAAAAATGTCTTCCTGGCCAGACATGAGTAATTAAAAGAGGGGTAAATCTGACATACACAAACTTAATATACAACCTAAGGGGTCTATTCCATTAAAGGCGACAACCCTACAAATAGGACATACGTATTAAACTATTAATGTCAGTAAACCGATTGGTATATATGTAATGCAAAATTGGATAAACTAAAAAAATGGAAAACTATGCACAAGAATAATAAATGAAACTAGGGACTCTAAAGAGCGATAATTATATAAATAACTGAATATCAAGTGTCTGATGACAATAATTTAAATGTAGCACAAGAGAAGACATATTTAAAGGAACATAGAATATGTATTATACTCATTAAGTCCTTTAGGTGTTCCGTATCCAATTTAAAGATCCAATATGCTTCCCTTTGAAGCAATATTCTAAACCTGTCATCCCCCATTGGGTAAAGGGGGGACATGGTCTATTGCTATAAACCTCAATGTGGGACTAGATAATGTTTAGCCACTGGCTTGTCCGTTTTTCGGTCCCTAAAGGCCGTCATAATGCCAGACCTGTGTCCTCGAATGCGATCCCGTAGGGTTAGGTCTGTCTTCCCTACGTATGACAGTCCACATGGACATGTAATAAGGTATATCACATGATCTGTCATACATGTGATATGGTGAGAAATCGATATTCTTTTCCCACTGTGGGGATGTACAAAAGAATTTTCAGAGTTCATATGTCCACAGGTGACGCATCCGCTGCATTTATAACATCCATTTTTCTTGTACCGTATGCCTTTCTTGTAGCTCTGTGTGGTATCACTTCAAACTAAAATATCTCTCAGATTTTTGTTTCTTTTGTAACTGATAATAGTTTTTTTAGTAAATATAGGGGATAGGTTCCTATCAGAACCTAATATATCCCAATGTTTTTCAATGGATTTACGAATTTGTGTGGATCCTGTGTGATACGTTAATGGTAAATATATATTTGGTGTATCCGTATTTGGGTCACATTTTGCTTCGTTATTCTCCTGTGCCCATTTCTCGATCGCTCGGGTTTGGCTTCTTCAAGTCTTCAAATTGTATCCTCTCTCCTGAAATCTTTTAGTCATCTCGTTCAATTGACTTTCTCTGTTCTGGGGACCATTAGTATAGTGTAGCACATGCATATACTGAGACATAGGCAACAAGTCTTTTAATCGTTGAGGATGGAAACTTGTGGCTGCAAGTAAAGTATTTCTGTCCGTTTTCTTTCGATTGAGAGTATATCCCAATTTGACACCATCTTTATAAAGCGTTACATCTAGAAATGGTATTTCCTTCTCACTGTATGTCAATGTGATTGTCAATTTAACTGGTAATCGAAGTTTATTAATATTAAATACCATCTCTTCTAATTCACGGGATGAACTGTGCCATATTATAAGCACATCATCGACAAACCGGTAATATGCAGTGATGTTATTAGGTATTTGATTGAAAATATGTTGATGTTCAAACTGGAACATGTAAGTATTCGCATATGAGGGCGCCATGGCCACCCCCATCGCCATCCCGGATAGCTGTAAATAAAATAATTCTTCAAACTTAAAGTAGTTACATGTAAGGGCAATCCGGAGAAATTCCAAGAGATACTCTATTGGAGGTCCCTGATATTGGTCAGAAGACTGAAGTATATTCCTGAGGGCTTCTATACCCTCCATATGAGTTATAATGGTATATAGACTTTGTACGTCTAAAGTGGCCAATATTATGTTTTTTTCTCTCAAAGATATAGCATTGATTTTATTCAATAGATCTTTGGTATCCCGAATACACGTAGGCAATTCTTTTACAATTTCTTTGATGTGGAAGTCCACATATCTGGCAATGGGTTCTAATAGACTTTCTCTGGCCGATACAATGGGCCTCCCCGGAGGATTGTTGGAATCCTTATGAATCTTGGGGATAGTATATAATACAGGATGTTCCGGGTGTTCCACGAACAGAAATTTGGACATTTTGATATCAAGATATCCCATTTGAACGCCAAATGTGATATGTTTCATTATGATCTTTTGAAACTTGCTAACTGGATCAAATGTCAAGCGTTGGTATGTAGTGGTGTCTGATAATTGTCTCATGATTTCTAATTTATACTGTTGATATGCCATGATGACAATGGCTCCCCCTTTGTCAGCTGGGCAAATAATAATTTCTGGATCTTGTTGTAAATCCTTAAGTGCTTCCAGTTCTGCTTTAGTTAAGTTTTGTCTATGATCACATGTTTTTTTGATAATCTGTTCAGTATCCATCTTAAGTACTTGCATAAATGATTTAATGGAGTTGTTAATTGTTTTAGTTTCAGTTTTGTATTTTGATATGAACGGATTCTTTTGTGTGCTCACTTTTTCATCCTTTCGGTGTTCATTATTATTAAGAATATGTTGTAATTTATACAACTCGATGTCTATCATAAAAGGATCTGGCTTGGTTACTGGTACAAAAGTAAGTCCTTGGGACAGAACAGAGTAGTGGTCCATGGTTAGTATTTTTTGTGAGGTTGAAAACATTAGTTACCTCTTCCGTAATGGTGGTTTGCCTCTGTAACTTGTGTTTCTTTCTTCCCTTTTGCCCTCTGCGGGGGATTGCATTCTTCTTGCGCCTCTGGTGTCCATCCGAGACGTCCCTGGAGATTCTTGTGGAAAAGTGTCCCCCTCTAAAAAAGGTGTCGATCCTGTACGTGTTTTGTCCTCTTTGGTTTCAGCGTCTGAGGCCGATATCAACTGTTTGAAATAATGTTTTTTTAATACAGTATCTATATCTAGGTGCTGGTTCTCTGTTCGATGACTGTGTACCACTGAGCTATCTACATACCTGGTGATACTGGTAGTCGTGGTTGACTTTGGCTAATTTTTGCTTTTTGAACCAAATCAGTTCATTCTTGTACTTATTGATGTCATCCTGTAACTTTAACATTTGCGTTGTTGCTGCTGCTAATTGTAGAGCTAGTGTATTAGTGGTTTCAAACTCTTGAATAGAATGTTTTATTAAAATCAATTCCTTGCCTACTTCTTCTCCAACGATTACCATCCAGTCTAAGGAGCTTTTGTTTGCAATATTCATCCACTTCTTGCATAACTCTGGGTTCTGCCTTCCTATAGTCGGTGCATTTCTTACTCTAAAGCCCCTAGGTATCCTTCTGGCTCTGTAATAATCAGAGATGAAGATGCCGTGTAAATCCAAATCCATCTCATGTCTTCTAAGTTTCATCAAGTCGTTATACAGATCTTTAGCAGTATTTGTATGAGAGAGCTCATTTGCTGTGCGAGGCCAAAGTACAGCTTGTGCTTGATCTTCCGATATGGTCAATGTTTTTGCTATATCTGCTAGAGCACCAGATCTAGATAAAAAAATCCTCCATAATGAAATGTCTTGAAAAGCCTTGCCACTAAACGCACCGTTTAGTAGATATGCAAAAATATATATATAATAATGTGGGGGTGCTCAAGATGGCATAACGCTATACCATATGTACATAAAAAGAGAGATAATCTTGGCACTCACCCTGTTGCAATTATACATTTTCTTGCCTGGGTGCGATCTCAGCGTTGATATAAATTTACAGCTATCCGGGACGGCGATGGGGGCGGCCATGGCGCCCTCATACGCGAATACTTACATGTTCCAGTTTGAACATCAACATATTTTCAATCAAATACCTAATAACATCACTGCATATTACCGGTTTGTCGATGATGTGCTTATAATATGGCACAGTTCATCCCGTGAATTAGAAGAGATGGTATTTAATATTAATAAACTTCGATTACCAGTTAAATTGACAATCACATTGACATACAGTGAGAAGGAAATACCATTTCTAGATGTAACGCTTTATAAAGATGGTGTCAAATTGGGATATACTCTCAATCGAAAGAAAACGGACAGAAATACTTTACTTGCAGCCACAAGTTTCCATCCTCAACGATTAAAAGACTTGTTGCCTATGTCTCAGTATATGCATGTGCTACACTATACTAATGGTCCCCAGAACAGAGAAAGTCAATTGAACGAGATGACTAAAAGATTTCAGGAGAGAATTTACAATTTGAAGACTTGAAGAAGCCAAACCCGAGCGATCGAGAAATGGGCACAGGAGAATAACGAAGCAAAATGTGACCCAAATACAGATACACCAAATATATATTTACCATTAACGTATCACACAGGATCCACACAAATTCGTAAATCCATTGAAAAACATTGAGAAATTTTTGGTTAAAATTTACAGCGGTTTATCTGCTATCTGATACAGAATATTATAGTTTAATGTTATTTAATATACAATTTATTTTTAGACGGTACATGCTATGAGTTATGCCTATTATTCATCTGGCTGCATGTGCACATTGATGTTTCATTAGTATGGTACAACTTTATTCATCATACCACGTACAGGAGTTTACTTTTAGATGTATTCATGTTTTATGCTCTCACTTTGTGTGTTCACACTATCACTTTTTTTATCTCACTCACTTTATTCCATTTTTTTCACCACATCTATAGTCTCTTATGTGGTTATTCGTTATATTGCTCCCTTGAAGATCATCCTCCATATAAAACATATTTTATATGTTATTTAATACATCTTACATTATATCACTTGGTGTTTAATACACTCTTACACCTATTTTCACATTTTATGTATAGCCGGTCACACGGAGATGATTGCATGATTTTTATACATGTTGCCTAGCAACGTAGTCTATTTGCACGTCATCACGTTTTTCACGTGATTCTTTGGAGCACTTTCGGGTTTTCGGCGGTTGGAAACCTTTCCTCATGCACTGCTTTGGTAAGTCATTAATATTGTACATATATATACTCACCTTTTACACTGCAATATTGATCTTGAAAAAGACTCTATAAGGGTCGAAACGTTGATCAAAAAATTTCGTTTGCACATGTAATTTGCATCACTAAATAAAAGAATCTTTTTATTAAGACCTGTTAGTGCACCTTATACACAATTTTTGTTTATATATATATATATATATATATATATATATACACATATACATACATACATATACACTAAGTGTATTTTAATATTAATATATATATATATAATTATATATATATATATATATATACACATATATATATATTAATATCAAAATACAGGTAGAATGATATTGATTAAATATATATATATATATATATATATATATTTATCATTATATATTTATATAGAATATAAAATAAATAAATATGTAAATACGTTAAAAAATAAAAAAAATAATAAAAAACAAATAAAATATATATATGTGTGATATTGTTTCAACTGTATTTTAAAATTAATATATATATTGATATCAAAATACATGTAAAACGAAATAATATATATAACTATATATATATATATATATACATAAGTATATGCGTATATATCACTATATATATATATATATATACCTATATATAAATACAAATAATTTAAAAAAATTATATACACACTATATATATGTATTGTCGATAACGTCTTGGGAAGCTATAAGCAGATATAAGAGACCAAATTAACGTCCTCACCTTCCAAAATATTTTTCCTTAAGTTAGGAGGGACAAGGTAGGCTGAAGTGGCAATGTGGGAAGGAGGATTAGAAACAGTAAGGTTGGTTCAGTTCAGTAAGGGTGCTAGGAACACTGTCAGTATGTCAAGGTTGAGCTCCCCAACATGAAAACTAAAGGACAAGAGAGTCAACCCCAGATAGACGTATTAACGGTCCTTTAAATGGCCGGACTTAACGTGAAGAGAATAAGAAACGTCAGACGAGCCAAGGTCAGGGTATGAGAAGGAAGAGCAAGTGGTAAATAAAGCCAAGGGTCAAGGGAGCCAGAGATACGGATAACCATAAAACAAGCCGAAGTCAGATACCAATGAAAGACAAGTTAACAAAACGCACTCTCGGGCTACAAGAAACCACGACAGGGCAAGGAAGTGATGTAAGAAGGAGGTTTAAATAGGGCTAGGTGAGATCTGATAGGCTAGGCATAAAAGAGGGCAGTATATAAATAGAGTGATAGTTAACAAGGTACAATCTCTTTAAAGATCCCAGGATAAGCCGCGCGTGCCCCTGTCGGCAACAGAGTGCGCACACGCACACGCCCCCCGACGCGCTCCCAGCCGCACTGCCTGGCAGAACAGGATGGACGGTGGGACTGGAGCAGTGCGGGTCGCGAAGAGGTATGACAGAACCCCCCCTGAATGAACGCCTACTGGAGAAACACCAGAAGGGCGAGAAGGTAACCTAGCATGGAACGCGCAAAGAAGCCGGGGCGCATGAACCTCAGAGGCAGGAACCCACGAGTGTTCTTCAGGTGCATAACCTCTCCAATGGACCAAGTATTGAAGCGACCCACGTGAGACACGTGAATCGATAATGTGTTGGATCTCATACTCCTCCTGACCATGGACCAAAACAGGAGGAGGACGAGAATGGGAACTGGAATGACTGTTGCAAACCAGAGGTATGGAAGACGTTGGGTACACGGAGGTTCCTGGGCAATTGTAAAGCATAGGACACAGGATTGATCCTCCGTAGAACCTTGTAGGGGCCAATATCTTTAGGTGCTAGTTTCATAGAAGGACCACGTAAACAGATATTCCGTTTAGACAACCAGACCCTATCACCCGTAAGATAAGAAGGTGCCACTCTACGGTGCCTATCAGCAAAGGATTTCTGAGTAAGTGCAGTCTTTTCCAAGATGGCATGAACCATTCTCCAAGTATCCTGTATAGTAGACAAGTGCTCATCCAGAACCAGCATTCCTTTGAAGAGAACGAAGCTGGGAGCAAATTCGGATGACGACCATACGTAATGAAGAAGGGACTGTGGCCAGAGGCAGAATGTTTGGCATTATTTCTGGCAAATTCAGCCCAAGGAAGAAGGTCAGCCCAGACCTTCAGTTGAGACGTAAAGCAACGGAGATATTGCTCAAGGCTTTGATTAGTCCGTTCCACAGCACCATTCGTTTGTGGATGATAGGCAGAGAAGAAGGCGAGTTCAATACCCATGTCCTTGCAAAAGCCCCTCCAAAACTTTGAGACAAATTGTGAACCCCTATCAGACACGATGACGTCAGGCATATACCGTGTAGTCATATTACTTCCTTAGCGAATATGTTAGCTAATTCAGCAGAAGATGGTAACTTTTTTAATGCCATCTTAGAGAAGCGATCTACCACAACCAAAATAACAGTAAAACTCTTCGATGGCGGTAGTTCTACAATAAAATCCATAGATAGTTGTGACTATGGAACAGAAGGCAGAGGAAGAGGATGCAGAAGGCCACATGGTACTTGATGAGATGGTTTAGACTGAGAACATACATTACAAGACGAAACATAGGCTTTAACATCCTTCCTGAGGGACGGCCACCAATATTGACGGGCAATTAAATCAATAGTCTAGGACATCACCACGTGTCCAGCCATTTTACTATCATGGTAGTGATGAAATACTTCTCTTAAGAGGTACGTAATATTTCCCAGCAGATTTGTCACTAGGCACCCTTTCTTGAGCCTTTTGAATTTTGTGCAGAAGAGTGGAGGAGAGTCTTGTTCTAATTAAAGCAATAATCCTTTCAGGGGGTCCAATGGGTTCAGTTATATCCTCCTCCTTATCGAGAGTGACAAATTGTCTGGACAGTAAATTGGCTTTAGTATTACGATTTCCTGGTCGAAATGAGATCAGATAGTTAAAGCGGGAAAGAAAAAGAGCCCAGCGTGCCTGTCTGGAAGAAAGCCTTTTAGCGTCACTTGGATATGATACATTTTTAAGACCAGTGAGAACCATGAGAGGTACGGAAGAACCTTCAAGTAAGTGACGCCATTCTTTAAGAGCTAGAATTATAGCCAATAATTCTCTATCACCTATATCGTAATTCTTTTCTGCAGGTGTTAATTTATGAGAAAAGAACCCACAAGGATGCTGTTGGAGATGCCCTCTGGGAAAGGACAGCTCCCACACCAGATTCGGAGGCATCTACTTCTAGGATGAAGGGTCTAGACGGCTTTGGGTGTACCAGGATGGGAGCAGATTGTAGCGGATTACGTGTGGCTGTCCATCACCTTTTTATTTGCAACAGTATTCATATGGTTTTATTTATTGTGTGCATGGTATTTCCTAAACATTTGTCTGGTTGTTTGGTAAGAACGCAATAGATACAGAGCTGAGTAACCCCGTTCGACATACGAACAAACTACTGAACAACCAGACCACCCCAGAGAGAAGTGTGGCTCCAATTTACCTCCCTCATTGGTATTAACACTAGCCTAATTGCAAAATATACGAATGCACTATGTATTCCCTGGGTGGGCACCGTTCGACATGCGAACACG